AGCACAGTGCTTCTTCTTCCACATACAAAACTTTATTGCACAAGCAGCACAGAGACACTCCACCTCTTTCTTCCTCCTATGCGTTAGGTAGAGTGTCTTTGTGCAGTTTGCACAATAATATTTTGTATGCATAATTGTATACGTGTTTGTTTCCATTGCAAAGGCGAGGGGATGAAGCCCAAAGCCTTGCTGGCACTCTTGGTTGGAGTGTGGTGTGGGACATTAGAGCCGTGTTTGGAGATGCACATGTACTTGGAATATTAAATATATCAGTACAGCAATGTTAGCTGAAACAAAACAGCACTGGTGGAAGCTAAATTCCTTTTTTTTGGAACATTGAGACCAAGGTGTGTAGCATAGAATCTTTGTAAAACAAACATGACTGTTTCCAGACTGGGAACATGGGTGCGTGTTGCTGAGGAACAACTTTACTAAAACAAGAAACAGCAAAATTTTAGACTTTAGCAGCTAAATTAGCTGCCACATGCAACTCATGATATGTTCTGGGAAGACCTACTTGCTCTACAAAAAAATTCTGCTGGGATGCCCTCCAATAAAGTCTAGGATGTTGCTATGCCTCTCATATAATGTGCCTTAAAAAAATCTAGAGCCTTGGATCTCAACTTTCACTTTTCTAGGTGAGAGGCTCCTCTGCCTCCCCCTAGTGCAGCACGTTCAGTTCTCGCGCCAAGCAGCTATTTAAAATATGCTGCCCAACACTGAGTATCAGCTTTAGGTGGGGTGCGCTGGAACTATAGCTGCGAGGGAGCTCCATCCATACATGCATTGCTTCTAGCTCCCTTGCATGTCGTGTAGAGGTGCCTGGACTGGAGTGATGTGACATTCTGGCTCCCGGCACCTCTACAGGGCCCACAAGGGAGTTGTACAAGCAATGCACAAATGGATGGGGCTCCGGCACTGCAGCCCACACTGAACCCCAGCCTGAGGATCCACTCCAGTTCTCGTAAGGTAGGTAGAAATTTTTTTGCGAGTATGAGTGTGTGTGTGTGTGAGAGAATGTTTGTCTGTGTGTATGTGAGATTGTGTGTGTGTGTGTGTGTGTGTGAGATTGTGTGTGTGTGTGGGTGAGATTGTGTGTGTGTGTGGGTGAGATTGTGTGTGTGTGTGTGAGATTGTGTCTGTGGTTGTGTGTGCCTGTCAGTGTTTTTGAGGGCCCATTCACACTAGTCCAGTGCGTTAATCCACCAGTCCCGTGCGACTAATGCACTGTACCACCCAATCACACCTACTATGAGATGCATTGCATTGCCATTCATTTTAACTGCACCCCAAACGCTCCTCCCACCCACAGTTCAATCGCCCGTACCAGAATGCGCGGTATCGCAATGCCAGTGCGACTTAATGACCAAGGACAAATGTGGGTCCTGAGGTTACACAGGTTGAGGACCACTGATCTAGAGGATATATGCCCAGAATACTATAAGCCAACCTTATAGCTCAAAAAAGCCATAATGCTATGGTCCTTAATGAGGCTGGTTGACCTTTCATTGTACCTGCTGGCAGGATAAAGAACCTGTCTCGTCTTCTGACTGAGGCCATCTTTTTCAGGTAATTCAAGATCAGACATTTAAAATCCAATATGTACTATTGATGTTATTCCCCTGTTTTAGGAAAAAAAACTGGAAAAAATCATTCCATATTTAAATAAAATTTAGACATCACTTTAGGGAGAAAGTAAGGATGGCCTCCAAATATCCTTGTCTTTATGCATTACACAAAAATATGTTTTTATGCATTAAGCCTGAGATTTAGAGATCCTGCCAGCTGATGTAAAAGCAACTAGAAAAAACTGTCTTTAACATAAGGTAACACAAGATGAAAACAATCAATAGCTTAAATAGCATAACATCAATGAGGACATTGAAGACCAAAGAGAGATCCTACTTTGGAAAGTTTGGTTTCTGGGAGCATTATATTTAACATTGCTCTCAGGAACCGGACCACCAGATGATTAGTTGCCCATTAGGGAGGGCAGAGCTGAAATTTAACTTTAAAAGTGTTATTTGATAAGTCCAAGTCTATACCTTTCTCGAAGAAGCTGATGAAATGCGAACAGGTCTATGTTATTCTCCAAAGGGTATTTGATAAATGTTTGCCAAACTTTTAAGTCAGTGATGTTTGTTGACGCTTTCCTGCCTTATAGTAGGGTGGCTATTACAGAGTCTGATAGACCTCGTGCCATTAGCTTGTCCTGCTTAATCTCCAGGCCACCAATTTTAACTTCTCTGGGCACAGATGGCCAAGCTGCCCCTGGACCTAAAGGTCTTTCGATTGAGCAAGCTGCAATTATTGTAAGCAACAGCTATGGTGTAATTTCACTGTCATTTATCTCAATGTATGCTTGAAGTACAGCTGCAGACCCAGAATCCAGCTACAGTGCAGCCCTCAGTTACATCTTGCAGCTGCCTCCTCTTCTGCCTCTGGGTCAGCCTGGCCCTTGGTCTTGGAGTCAAAGATTGACCCAGTCATGGTGAGGCTTCTGGACATATACATGGAAA